GAGGAGGAGGAGGAGGAGGAGGAAGAGGAAGAGGAGGAGGAGGTGGAAGTGGTGGTGGTGGTGGTGGTGAAGGTGGAGGAGAAGCGCAGGCGTTCGCACGCTCCTGCGCATCGCTGCCGTTGCTGCTGTGCTGTATACCGCGATGCGACAGTCATACGTGGGGCGCGAGAGCGGGAGGTGCTCTCTCACCTTCTTGTCGAGATCTCGATCTCTCATTCTTGGCTAAGCTCTAGGTATTACGTACGAACCGCGTCCGCGCCTTCGACGTGTCTCTCTCGCGTGTCTCTCACCCCTTTTAGCGATCTGTGAGCGAGCGAGCGAACGAACGAGCGGGGTCCCCCGGGTATATGCATGTGCATACACTCCGCGTGCACGTGTGTACATGTGCGTGTGCGTGCGTGCGTGTACTCGTGTGAATGCACCTCGTTACGACCTAGCGACCAAGCGACCGAGCAACGAGCACCCCTTAGATCGCCGCGCGCAAATCTCGCGGTCGCTCCGGCCGGGGGTAAGCCGCGAGAGCTCGTCGCCGAGGGGGTTCCTCGAGAGAACCGGACTCGTGGTCCCCGCGTGTCCCCCGGCCCGGTGTACGAATTCTCGCGCGCGAAAGCGTCGCGAGACGCGGCGTCGCTGGCGCGTGGCCGTGCTTCCTCCGCGAGCACGACGTGCTCGTGGCTGAGGGTGAGGGTTGTTGTTTTCGCGCTGCGTCGACGTGCTGCTCGGGAGGCGAGAGAGGCGGCTCGCGCGCGCGACGGTCTCGCGAGGCGCCGCGCACCGAGGGGTGTATCCAAGGGGTGCATCGCAACACGCTGCGAATGACGTCTCTCGATCTACGTGACGGAGTGACATTATGAGCGTGTGTCACGTACGAAGATTGAATCCGGTGGAGAAGGTAGGAATACGAGATAAGGGTAGAATAGAAACTCTCTCGAGGCACCCCGAGCTGCTTCGCGGGTGATCTCTCGGCGTGATTAGGGAACGAAACGAACGGACGCGAGCACGTAAGTAGATAAAAATCGCGGAACGCTCGTCTTTTCGCCGGCGAGTGTTTCACTTGCGTCGTTACGAAGTCGCGCGATCCTCAGGAATCTCGCAATCCTACCTTCTCCCCTGGGACTTCGAAAGGTTTCCGTCTTTTCGGTGCTAAAGACTGTATAAACGCGCAAGAGCATAAGAGAGAGAGAGAGAGAGAGAGAGAGAGAGTGAGAACTTGTCCGACACCGCGCGAAAACAGAAACTTCGCGGCGGTCGCGTCGATTTCGGCCCCTGTTTACTAATTGCGTGAACGAGCGGCTTGTTTTCGAACGGGCCGATAGAATATAGGTCGGAACGTCGACGCGAGGGACTCACGCCTCCACGAGAGTCCATCCTCTCGGGCGACGGGAGAGTCCGAGCTTCTCGTTCCAGCTGCGATCCCGATTCAGCCCCCCTTTAGTCCGTCGGGAAACCCCGGATATCCGATTTCTTTCAGCACGAAGCGAAGGTGCGGCTCGTAGACGCACCGTACGTGCCCGGCGTGCAGAGGGTGTGCGACGACCCGACACGACGACCCTCCTGCCAGCGAGGCCGTCCGCTGACAGTAGAACGACCCCCGCGAATCGAGTCGCCGTCGAGTGTGCAGTCGTAGCGGGCGAACTGCGACGCGCCGCGACTTCCCCTCGAATTGTAACGGGATTGCGAGAACGCGAGAGAGGAAGAAAGACTAAGAGCTCGACGGACGAGGGAGAGATAAACAGAGAGGGGAGGGAGAGGGCAGAGAAAGAGAGAGAGAGAGAGACTGAACGAGAACTCTCGTTCGCGGTAGACTCGAATCGATCGCTTCGGGGATGCGCTAAGTCAAAGTGGGGTCGGTCAGGTTAATTGCTGCACCGCTACCGGGGCCGACACGAGAATGAATGTTTCGACGATGACTATGGCCAATCGCAGGATCGAGAGGAGCACGGAGAGAGCAGGTTGTTCGCTCGGCGAATGAAATGACTCGACGACAATAATTGCCGGCACGATTCGCGGCACGTCTCGCGCGAAACGCGTTCATCCCTCTGTTACATTCACCCGCGGCTGCCTGGTCTATCGATTCGGGGTAACATCGGGCAGAATTTTTACTCTTTAATGCTCCCCACGACGACGGATTTAACCTGACCCAATTTATTTCGCGAATAATTCATCAAATTTAGACGAATGGGTCTGTGCGCGGCCGTTTCGAATAACGCGCAACGTATCGAGGGGGGAAAGAAGGGAGAGAGGGAGCCCATTTTTTTTCATCCTTTTTTTTAATGTCGCGTCGGGAGGAAACTATTGTGGGAGATCGCAGCGCACACCGAGGCAATTTTGCGGAGAGCATTAATGTAGATTAATTAGATATTCTATAGAATACTTTACTTTAAAATTATTATCGCGAAGAAAAATTATTACAGAACTTTTTAACTACTCTAGAATTTTGCAATTTTCTTATCGCTGTGGAATTTCGTAAGATAATGATTTATTATCCTTTCGTAAGACACGTGCTATTTATATTTTGAGGATTGAAGTGTGCTGTCAAAAATTTTCCCATATTTCTAGCGAAGTTTACCGTGTTCCCTGGCGAGTCTATTTTCCTGCACTATTGGAAACATAATAAAATTGAAAAGAATTTATATGAAAAAAATGACTGCAATATTCTCTCTGTGCACAAATTTCGATTTAGCGCTTCTCCGAAATGATCCATCCGATTAATTCGGTTAATCGATGCTCTGTTCTTTTCATTTCTTTTTCATTCTCCCTCTCTCTCTCTCTCTCTCTCTCTCTCTGTCTTTCTCTCTTTCTCTGCCGTCGCGCTTTCCCATTTGCGTTCTCGATTGTACTTGCTTTAGTGCAAACGCGTTTGACGTCCAATTTATATGCAATGCATTTCTGTTTGACGCTCGAAAGGACTCTGCTCGCAGCGCATAATAATATCCCCTGTTTCTTCGTCCGATAAATCTCTCTCTCTCTCTCTCTCTCTCTCTCTCTTTCTCTCCCCTCCCACTCTCTCCCTTAATTCTTTTTCGTCCCATAATATATTCCTCCCCTGTGCGACCTTTCGACTCTCTAATAGATATTACCGTCTAATGAGACACTCCTCTTTTATCCGTCCCTTCTCACGCGCGTTCGAACTTGAAACCGCCGCGACCATCTGGGCGTCGTGCAACCTCTGTAATTCGAATTAATGAACCGCGGGCGTGCAGTCGGCCAATCATGGTACTCGGGTTACCGAATCCCGGTTGAATCACCGGCTAAGCACATTCGCTGATCTCTGAGCGCGCGCTATATAAACGATATCCATGGGATACGAAATGGTTAACGTACGAGTCGCGAGGGGGTGAGAACGAGATGTTTTGAAACTTTCAGGACGGTTTTTGCGAATTATACACGAAGACAGGAAGCTCCCACATGACGCATATGTATGATATATTTACAATATCTCGTGTAAAGGTATATACGTAAAGGTATAGCAGTATATATTCATCATGTATGGACACATAAATTTTTCGGAAAAGACGGGAACTTGTATACTTTGTACAACTTCGCCGACAGCTTTCTAAGCTACACGTCCGTCCGCGAGTAAATGTCGTGGGAGTCGACTGTCAAGAGAGAAGCAGACAAAGAGCGAGAGAGAGAGAGAGAGAGAGAGAGAGAGAGAGAGAGAGAGAGAGAGAGAG